TCCCTTTCCTGTCTGTACACGACGACCTGAGTTGTTGTTTGCTCTATGCTTCCCACTCCTCACCATAACCAATATCCAGTTCACCTGCTCATGCATTTTCCTCAGCAAGAATTCAACAGATTCCATTAGTTGCATTTTATCCACCTCATCCAATTTGCAATCCCGATAGCAATAATAACAAAAGACAAATAAATGAAAGCAATCACATTGGTCCACATTCGTTTATACCACTCCTTAACCTCATGCAAGTCTCTACCACAATATGAAATCGTATAGACATTCACTTAAATGTACAGACAACCAGAATTTCACAAAACCATGAATTCGACAAGCAATTACAACAAACTATACTCTGCATCTACAAACAATCATTAAACGAATGCACCCAACAAAAATTTGAATGAGTTACTCCTCCACACCAAGCTCCTTAGTCATGCTGACTCGAGACTGGCCAGCCCGAAGGCCTTCGTCATGCCAGAGTTTTATTCGAGACTCTTCGTACACCTCATTTTCTGCATTTTGTTAGTCACCTGGACAATAATGCTAAACATATCCATATACACCATAATATCAGCAACATTTCACCCAAAATATTCAAACAATGAATATTTCTCCCAAAAAAGAATGCTAAGAGACTCCACATGTCACAAAATAGTGTCAGTCGATCTTGACCATAGACAAGAGTTGAGACTAATTTTATACCTGAAGGTCGAGAATGCCACTCCCCATTATCCTACCTCTCCAAAAAAGAATGATTTCTGCCTTTGCAATTGCCACCAGCGATCGGCACCATCCAGACTCGTCCCTCATTGTCATCCTGCTTTGATGGCTTCGTGCTCGCTCATTTTGTCCTCGAAACTCCACAACTCGTCCACCATAGCTTGTCTAGACTCGGGTTATTTCTGAGGAGATGAAAAATAAAAATGACCAAATAAAACACCAATTGAAAATGTGCAACATATCCCACGCTTTAAAAGAAATGAGAGAAGAAAGTAAATTTTTGTTTCAATATGTCAGTTCTATACAAGATCCTAGAGTTCGAGCATACATTGAAGCTGAAAAAGCACGAATCTTGGAGAAAAGAGCTCAACAAACCCAATCGGATCCATTTTCAAACAATGCATTTAGCCAATTTTTCAATGATCTTGAAAGAAGCGGTGTCAACTTGCCAGATTACTAAATTCTAGTGCTTGTTTTTGGGTTTATGATATCCCCCATCCCCCATCCCCTATATATATAATTGCAGAATGTGTTGAGCCTAAGTGGCATAATCTCATGCTTTGGAATCCTACGTGGCAAATCTTCACGTTTTGTCATTTGGCTTGGATGAATATTAATTTACTCTAAATTAAAAAATAATTTAGTTTGGAATAGCCATAAATATACTATATATTTATGGTCATTTTTATTAGTATTAATATTACATTTCTATTCTAGACGTGATTTATATAAGGCCTGATTTTTTTTCCTCATCTTTCTTCTAAAATTATGAAAAAGGTACTAATTTAAATTATAAGTAGATTTAAAATTTAATAAGTTTTTTATTTACTATTAATTTATATATATAAATATATCAAATTAATCATGTATGGACGAGCTTCGATTTGACATCTATATTGTACATACAAAATAAATAAATAATTATACTTATCTTTATAAAAAATTACCAATTAATATTAATTAGAAAATATAATTATTTAAGTCAATTTAACTATAAATTTGTTAAATGATATAATTAAAAAAATATTATAATATAAGATGGTAAATCATATAAGTGATGTCAGTTATTTTTAATATAAATAGTAATATAGTTATTTAAAAATTCAAACAAATTTTTATTATTATTTTTAATTTTAAATATAAATTTCTTTACATACTAACATGTAATACACGAGTATTGTACTAATATTTTTATTATTAAGTGATGTTGTATTTCATGTCAGCACTAGTTATTTAAATGTTTTTCTTTAAACCGTGATCTATCATGTATTAATGTTATTTCAATCTGTATTAGTATTGTTCTTATTATTTAATGTTAAGGTTTTCTTTTCTTGTTAAATAAAATACCATAAGTAATATGTATATTTTACATTTATATTGTGAAATATATAAAATTAAATGGTAATATAATTCTTATTATTTTGAATATTATACTATCTAATTTTTATAAAATTAACTTTTTTTAGTATTTTACAGTATTATTGTGAAAAATATAAAATTAATATGTATATTTACTCTATTATGAACAAATATAAAATAATATGATATTCATTATTTTAAATATTATATTATATAATTTTCGTGAAAGTAAATAATAAAATAAAGATGTTAATATTTTTAAACTTATTTTCATATTTAAAAGATCATTATATTATTTTACTATTAAAAACTAAAGAAAACTAAAAAAAATCATTTTACAAATTAATAAAAGTTAAAAGACCAAAATATATATATAAAAAAAAAGATTGAATGCATAATTGCGTTCCGACGCAAATATGCGTCCAACCGAGGAGAGAGCGACAGAGAGAGAAATCATATCACATTTTGCAATCGGTTTTTGGTACCGATTAGAGCTGCGGGTGGAGAAGATCTTATTACCTGCGGGCTGCGTGTAAATTGATGGCGGTAGGCGGAGGAGGAAGGTTGATGGCGGTAGGCGGAGGAGGAAGGTTGATGGTGGGGCGGCGGCCGTCGATCGCCGACGGGAGTCATGGTGGCCGAATTTAGTGTGTGTGGACTGTGTGTGTCTGTGTGAAATGCGTGCGTGGTTGCCGATATTAGTGTATGTTTAAGTGTGTAAGAGATGGTGTGGGGTCCACTTTGAGTTGTAATTTTTTTATGACCATTATACCCTTAATTTGTGGTCAATTGTACATATTGGACCATAAAAGTTCAAAGTATTTACTATAATGCCATCATATATTTGACTAACATTAATAAAGTTTGACTTAATCATAACCATTAATGGGACATATCTAATGGTTCATAATCATTCTTATTTTTTTCATTGTATTTCATTCTCATTAGAGCGCACTTCTATATATATATATATATAAGTGCGCTCAAATATATATATATATATAAGTGCGCTCAAATGAGAATGAAATATATGTATATATGTGTGTGTGTGTGTGTGTGTGTGTGTGTTCGTTTTTGTGGATTACGCGTTATTGTTTATGTTGTATCCGTTAATTTAATATTGAAATTGGTCTTGCCATTTGATTGAAAATGATTTACACTAATACAACCTAGTAATGTAAGTCAAATATAAATGTTTAGGAATAGTACCAGTGTTATATTTTGTCAAAAGACACAATTATATAATAACGATTCCATAAGGAAAAATGAAGTATCTAAAATTTGGGTCATAATTTTATACCCTCATAAAGAGAGATTTCTTCAAAAGACAAAAAAGGAAAAATTTTAAAGAATCATTTAATTTGAAAATTTAGCAGAGGATGATAACTCCAACCTCAAACGGCCTATAAAAGTGGTGGGGAAAGAAGAAATGAAAGACTCGTTCATACGGAGTTTTATACTTATCTCATTTGTTGTTTGCGTGTAGTGTGAAGCTACGAATTAAGGAGATTTGTATGGAAGCTACATACAGGTTGCAACATTAAGAAGATGTGTTCATCTGCTTGATCTTAATGTTGCAACCTCTATGCAGTATTTATGTTGATAACATGTATACTGAAGGTTTGTCGATTGTCATTCTTTATTGTCGAGATCATATTTTATTTTGTTTATGCTTGTTAATGTGATTATTGTTTGTAGATTTTAGCCGAGAACGATCAAAATATCTCAATCGGGTCGTCTTCTCGAAGGAAGGTTGTTGGGAGTTTCGTTCACTATCTAGTCGTCAATTCACAAAACCGAAAATAAGGTCCTAAACATGCTACTCGCGCGCTTGATTTGGGTGAAATTAAACTAATTTGCACTAAGAAATGAAAGCTATTGATGAAAGGTGAGAGGATTGGAAGAAAAGACTCGAACTTTGGTTGCACAGAGTCTTCATAACTTAAGAAAATAAAAATAAACTAAGAGAAATATGCAAGCTAAGTGATCATAGGCAGATAAACTGAGCCTTCTTAACTAAATCATCTCGCGTTAAGCAAAGTTGAGACCTTTATACAAGATAAGTACGAAATTAACTCCTAACACACTTAAGTAAGCAAGAAAAATAAAGCAAAGCCCTAAAATCGAGTATCACACAAGATTCCGGCCAAAGCACCAACTTAACAAGAAGAAGAAAAATAAACTCGAAGTAAGAAGCCCTAATCAATGTAATTACTCTCCTATCGTAAGCTCGGACAAAAATAATGTGAAAAGATTTAATCTTGGACAAAATTAAAATCATCAGAATATATGTGTCATGGAGCTCCCAATACAAAGATGGCGGAAAAAAAAGACTTATTCCCCAAAGGGGAATTAGGAAAATGAAAGCTTGGTGTTCAAAATACAAAGGAAGACATGTATTTATACTCACACCTTAAACACACACTCAAAACACACTCATTTACTAAAAATAACTCGCCTAAAATAGGAAAAATCCGGCTGGCGGGTCATTGGGCGAGTGCTGGCGCGAGTCTGCTCGGGCGTGCGCAGGGGCTGCGGACGCGAAGTGGGCGGGCTGGTCTTTGCTCACGGTGCTGACTCGGACCTTGATTTCTCTTTTGCACGACTCGAATGGTTTGGATAATGGCTCGGGTGGCTCGAATGGCTCAGTCGACTCGCACGACTCGATCGTCTCGGACGGTTCAGACGGCTCGGTCGGCTCGAATGGCTTGGATGACTCGTCTTCCAAGCCCACGACAAAGAACAAAAACACAAAACGGGAACAAAAATATACAAAACACGATAAAATAGACCGGTTGGCACTAAAACGAACCTAAAAAGACTAAACTAAAACACATAAAACACACAATAATCACAAAAACACAATAAACAATTATCAACAATAATTACAACTTTTATTTTGATTGATAGCTCAAGCTTTAATGGACATAAAAAATGGGTTTACGGGAACTGAAGATTGTATGCCAGAATGTAGCCTAACCAGCAACCCTTGCAACTGGTCGAACATCGACTGCGACCACTCAGGTTTTGTTGTTGTCATGTAAGAGTATTATTATTATTTCTCCCCCATTTTCGTAATGTTATGATCTAGTTTCTAAATGAAGTTGTAATCTCATTTTATTTTTATGAAATTTCTATCACCAGCGATCTTACGCAAAATTGTAAGAAGTTGGAAGGTGTTCTTGTCGACTTCACTGAGGGGCTTGTCAACTTAACTCACTTGAATTCTCTGTATGTGATATTTTAGTTACCTCTTGCATTGCATATTATTAAAAGATAATTATAAAGATCCATATCATATCTAGTGACATGCACAAGTATTTCTCTAATCATCAAAATATTACTCTCACTGAACAGTATTGAGACAACAATTGCTTCATTCTCGCATTGGATTTGTCTTCTCACAAACTATAACTCCGCTCATTTCATGAATCCCCAAATACCGGAACCATAGTTCTACAAAAAGTTTGTTGTAAATGAAGCTTAAAAAAATAGAAGCCTAAGAGATATAACTATTATTTCTTCTACTTTACATTTATGTATAATTTGGTCTGGACATGTCCTAATTCCAATCCTCTAAACTGACAATATATGGAATTGCAATATTTTAGTAGTTTATGTCTAACAATGCACCAAAAACGTTTATGATTAAATCGTAAAAATGACAGAAGCTCTTATACTAAAATACAATTTACCAGTGACAAATCATATTTTTCAAATCGAATCAAATATTTTATCTTTATATTGCACAAGATAAATGTATTTAGTTTAATGAATTTAACGTAATTCTGAAGGCCATTAATAGCCGGAAAAAGAAAGCACTTTTGTCCAAAGTTAAAAGCTTCTGTTGTCTGTTGTCCTTTTCTCTTACAACAATTATCTGTTTTAAACCCAACAGCCCAAAAGGTGAGAAGAAGCTACCCCGAGACAGAAAAAACTACCTTTGTCTTGCATGCATTTTACATTTATGCCCCCTCTTTCTTCATCTTTCTTATTACAACATGGTCCCCTTCCCTTCCCCCACTAAAACCTTTAATCAAAGCCTATATGTATCTAGCCATAAATTTTGCCAACTGCTAATAAATTGAAACCATCCCCTACCTTTCCCTTTCCCCTCTTTTTTCTGGGCTCATATTTTCGAAAACATCATTAATTTTTTGTATAATTGTAACACACTCCCATTATTTCAAGGATTGTAAGCAAGTCTGACTTGCTACATATCCGGGATTGTAACCAAGTCAACTTAACAAGCCAATAAACGAGCTCGAGTCTTAATAAATCGAATCATATCAGAAGTTTAAGTATCTTTTATTTTTCTAGCTTGGCGAGAACTCAACTCTTTAACTAAATAAGTCTTCAATCAATTTGAACTCACGAGCAACTTGTTTTGTTTAACAACTTTCTGAACACACATTGTTTAAAGTGTGTTACAAATATTAATCTCCTTTTTAACAGGGCGAAACTACAGTATGCTTAGGGGGGAAATTGCATATATATATATATTGATGGGTCTACTCTCATATCTAGAGTGAACCGGTGGTAATGAGCTCAGATCTGCTTGAATCGCCTTCGAACTGTTGCTAGACCGCAACAACACCTGCAAGAACTCAACGCCAAAAGTGTTTCCGGCGCAGAGCCTCCGACGCTCACGTCATGTGAAAGAGATGAAGAGAGCTGCTCTGAGAGAGCAGCAGCAGCAATAGAGGAGAGTGAGGAATGAATGGAAGTTAGGGTTAAGGGTTATCTCACCTCCTTTATATAGGAGGAAATACTTACTTGAAGTACCCAAAACGCCCCGGTCGACTTACTTGAAATGTCCAAAGTACCCCGGTCGGTTCGTCTTCCATTGCTGCTGAGTCATCACAAGATTCCTTCTTACCATTAGAAGATATGGGGCCTTAGATATGCTAGTGTGCTAGGTCATCAACACCTTTTACGACTCGAGATGTAAGGAGTCGACCTCGAGCACTGCGAGGTCGACTTAGGGTCCGTGTGCATGTTCGGAGGCTACACTCGTTCGTCTTCTTGCTAGGGGTCGACTTTAAAAGAGTCGATAACACAGAGTCGACTTTAGTAAAATCAGCTTCTTTCTTTGGTTAGTTCAGGAGGTCGACCATCAAGAAGTCGACCTCCTTCGGGATGTCGACTTTGAGATTGTCCGGTCGACATGTCGACGGTTCAAACCGCCCTTTGGGTCGAGTAACAAGTGTTTAATTGCTGTCCCGTTATCGGGATTCTTCGAGGTATTCTCATTCGACCTTTGGCAATAGGTTCTGTCCCCACTCGCAGTTTCTCGCTTGGGTCGTCGCGCTAACTTATTTTTGTCATTCCTTTGGGTAGCAGTAAACCCTCATAATTGCTTTTGGATAAACCTGACACTCTGACATTCCTTTTTGAATTTCAGATTTCGAAGCGGCACGCGTCATTTCACTCTCAGCCTTTTCGAATTCTGCAATTAATCGTGGCCACTAGATTTTCCTTTGATCTGACGGTCCGTATTCTTCGCCTTGTATATAAATACTTCCCCTGTGTGGGGTTACCCACTTTTTCACGCTCTCAAGCTCTCTCGAATTTTACTCTAAACTTTCGGCGATTTCGACGATTTCGGCTTCACCGGCCTTACTGATTCCGTCAACCTCAGATTTCTCCAAACTTCACCGGCGCTCTCAATCATGTGTAAGTTCTCTTTACTTCTCAATTTTTGTCGGTTTTCTCCCTTTTCTTCTGTGTTTTTTGAATCCCGGAGTTCATATGTGTTCTTTCCCATTCCTGTGTATGTCCTGGTGTTTTGCGGCGTCAGATCTTTCTAACATACCATCGCATCTCCTTAAGGTGTTTTTAATAGATTGATTTAGGGAATGAAGTCGATTTTTTCGCTTTATGGGTCGACTCATGTCGACTTACTGGCTCCTCTTTATTGAATCAGTCGAGACCAGAGCTTATGGTGCTCTCTTTCGTCTTTCTTTTGTCGGTTATGCCGAGTCGAGTATGTTAAAGTCGACTCGACTTCTCCTTCTATGACATCCAGGTGTCGACTTTTGTTTCACGCACTAACATTCATGTTCTAAATTTTTTCCCTTTAGCTCCGACTCCGCTTCTCTCTCTGGCTCTCTTGCTCGTCAGATCAATGAATATTCAGATTCTGACTCTATCCAGAAAGTCGACTTGGGATCGGCGGTCGAGCAAGAGCATTCCCCTCTCGCTTCTGATGTTTCTCCCTCTGCGGTCGATTGGGATGAGTACAATCTAGCACTCCTGTCGGGCGTTCTTGCTCATGAATTACAAGGTTCCCCCCGAGACGACAGTCCTCGTTTAGCACCCCTTCTCTAAGGTATCTCTCTTAGGCTTCTCGATATTCCTGTATGTGAGACGAGTCATGTTTCAATAATCGCTCCTCTTTTTGAGCCTCGCGATGTTGTAACAGTAGCATGTCCATTAGCGAAAGAGGCAACTCTTAATCATTTTTCTTATGCCCCTGCAGTCGTACTTACTAGTTTCAGGGAATATAGCGGACTCCCTTCTGATTGGGAATTAATCGCTCCTCGTCCTAACGACACTTTTGGCAATCCTCCTCGAGGGGGTTATATGTTTTTCATGGACCAAATCGCCTTCGGTCTTCGTTTCCCCATCCAACCTGAATTTGTTACCATAAGCAACTTGTATAATATTCTAATAAATCAATTTTCTCCCAATGCTTTTCTATTTATGATAGCTTTCATAATAGTTTTGAAAATAAAGTTTGGTCGGTTCTCGCCCGATTTCCTTTTTTACTGCTATTGGTATCGATTTATCAAGAATGCTCACTGTTTAGGTCGTCGTCGAGGAGTTACTTTCCTCGACGACTTATCCTCGAACGTAACTGAATGGAAGTCCAAATTTTTCTACATCCGTCCTCTTCTTGGCCTCTACCCATTCACCAACATTTGGATAACCAATAAAGTCAAGCAAAATAAGCGCCCTCGGTCTGATCTATTTGCGACCATGCTGGATGGTTTGAATAAGCATTCCTGACTGAATTACCTGCAATAATCTAAAATTTAAATTATAGATATTTAGTATTTTAATGTTTTTAGTTAATATTTTATATTATTTTTTGGTGTAAAGACCTAAAAATACATATATAAGATTTTTTTTTTCTTTTTTTTGTATAGTTTGGTCGGTTCGGTTATTTTAAGAAATAAAGTTGAGTACGAACCAAATTAACTAAAACTTGGAAAGTAACAAAAGATAATCGAACCAAAATACAAAATTCGAACACACGGATTTAGTTTGGTCAATTTTTTTTCACTATAGTGCAATCTGACAATGTGCAATCAATCTTACACTGCACTTAATGATTTTTCTCAAACACAACTAAAAATAATCGGTTTATTTGATCGGTTACCTGAGTTAACCTAAATAATCTAAATAATTTATAATTTATATTATAAAAATATATTTAGTAATTTAATATTTTATATATATTTTTCAAAACTTTGTATGTTCGTTTCGAATGCTATAGTGCAATCTATTAGTCACTGATGTGCAATCCGTCTAACACTAATGTGTACTTGAAGTGTAGTTATTTTTATAAAAATATATTTAGAATTTTAATATTTTTATTTAACAATTTTATATTATTTTAGTTTTTAAAAATATGATATATATATATAAATAAAAAATATATAAATATAATATTTTTATATATTTACATAAATTACATTTTTGACCCATAGGCTAAATTGAACTATAATCAAGACTCTAAAAATTTAGTTAAATTATAGAATTGGCTTAAGAACTAAATTGTAATTTATATAAAACTATTGCTATTGGAATTAAGTCTCCGAGACTTATCAATATTTAAAAAAAAATACCCCAACCCAGATTTGCTCCTATCTGTCTCCTTCTCAAAATCTCCGCCATTGCCGTCGATGAGCCGCCCGACCCTTCTCAGCCACGTGAAGACCTCATCGGTCGGCCACATCCTCACGATTTTACTTTCGATTCTGTGTTCATCAATTTTATATTTGATTTGTATTCATTGAATTTGTGATCTATTTCGTTGGCATACTTTATGTGCTTGCCGGTGTTACCTAAGCTCAACAGTGTCAGTGAGTTTCTTTTTGGGCGACCGAATTTTGAGCTCCAAACGCTCGAGGTCTGACGAAAGGGAGAAGGCGGAGGGCGGCGTTGATTGGAGAAGTAACTGAAGTTTTGTAGGCAACGGGCGGAGGAGAAGACACGGTTTCTGGCGGCGGCATTGATTGAAAAGGGTAAGGGATAAGATGTGGTTTTTCGGTGAGCGGAGTAGCCTCTGCCGACCGCCATGTGCGGCATTGGAGTTGCGGCCGCTGGAGAAGTCGAGGGATAGCGAAGCCGGGCGAGGTTGGATGGCGGTCTGCAGCGTTGGATGGCGACGGTCGGGCTGGGGATTGGTACTATGTGTGTATGTGTTTGTGCAAAGAGTGAGTTTATTGTGCGTCAGAGAGAGTGTCTGGTAGGTCCCACCAGTGAGTTGGTGGGTTGAACTGGTGTTAGGTGGTGCCCACAGGTTAGTTAGATAGGAAAATTACCACATTGTCCTTAATGTGTTGTAGCTGTTGGATCATCCGATCCAATGACTAAAATTTATTTTTATTTCTTTCACTAATCACCATTTCCACTGGAACCCGACAATATATATATGTTTTAATTTTCAATTTTATCAGTTTTTATTTACAAATTTTGCCCACTCTCCTATATATATGATAAAATTATTTTCACTCTCTAATACAATGAAGGCTTCTATAATTTTTTGTCCAAATGAATGAGTTGTGCTCGTAGTATTCTATAATCGATTTTTTTAAAGAATCTACAATAAAGTCTTATGATTCGGCTTCAAATAATAACTTCTCAACGACAATTATTGTAACTTCATTCTGTTTTATGATGGATATTTATTGAAAACATTTTTTGTAAATTGTATTATCACTGAAAAATGACCCTGAAAAAAATCTAATAAAAAATTATATATTACATGAAAATTCCTATAATGATAAACCTTTGAAAAAAATAGCAGTTGTAATTATCAAAGTTTTAACTAAAACTAGTTTTTGTCCCGTGCATTTGCACGGAAAACTATATAATACATGAAAAAATAATAAAAATTATAAACAATAGTAAAAATCATAACAAATTCATTGAAAAAAATTAAGAAAAAAATATAAATATTCTTAAACACTTCTTTATAAAACAATGTCGTGGTTTTTCTATCGTCAAAATCTCCCCCAACTCAAATCAAAATCTTCAAACCCCACTGACTTGTAACTCTAAAAAGTGCCACGTATAATTGCTCATGACTAAATGCAGAGCTCTTCAGTAGTAAACCGACGTGCGACAGAGACTGTCTTTGACTCTTATTGATCATGTCATAGCATAGGAAACACTTCTTTATATTATTTGTCCTCGACTCTTATTGATTGATAGAGATTGTCCTTACTTCTTAATAAAAAAAATACCATCTAAATATAAATGAGTAAATATAATATTAATTTTTTATATAAACAAAAAATTTAAAGTAATTGATAATGAGTATAGAATTACCCTTGCGGATTCAAGTTATTTCAACAATGTTCTTTTTATATATCTAAGATTTAATTTTTTTTCTGATTTATATGAATATAAGCACATTTGACTAATTTTTATATAATTTATTGAAAAAAGTTACTCTTTTTTTGAAAAACTGATAAGATATTAAGATAATACTGTACTTAACATAAATGTTGGATTAATTAAAATAGATCTTTTTAATTTAGTCATTAACTAATTAAATTTAACTATAAAAAACTTTCTTAAATGTGAGATTAATGAGTAATTAATTAAAAAAATGTAACTCCTTTTGGAGGGAAAGTGAAAACATTTTTATTAAATGTTTTATTAATTGGGATTAGCTAGCAATTATATATATATAGATTCCAAAGAGTTAATCCAAGAGAATGTTTTTAATTTTAATTTCCCTAGAATATACTTTGAAATTTCAAATAAAAATTATCATTAAAATATCTATTGAAATATATTATTGTAGATTTTGCTTTGGAATATTTTTTTTTAGTGAAACGAGTTATGCAAAACTTTTCCCCCTCTCAAATAAATTCCTAATTTCGTCCTTAGCTTTTAAGGCGCACGTTGTTCAAGAAAAACAAATCAGCCACATTGCATTTGGATTTGCCCATCCCAATTAAGGCTTCAATTTATCAAAGCGAGAAATCCTTAAGACCCCTTTTGACAATAGAGAGATTTCATTGCACAAAAGGGTACCTTCTTCAGCAGCCTTTTCTGATCTTTGTACATTACCATAAT